AGAGAGAGAGAGAGAGAGAGAGAGAGAGAGAGAGAGAGAGAGAGAGAGAGAGAGAGAGAGAGAGAGAGGCATTCGTCAAGAGAGAGAGTCGGTGTGAAACAAAAATAATGATTACTTCTGCTCAAAATTTGTGCTGCCAACCCCCTCCTCTTCCACACACACCTTCCCCCCCCCCCCACCTCCGCATCAACGCTGCCAAGGGTTCGGTGGAGGAGCCCCGTGAACATGGTTGTGATGCCAGACATGCATGATGAGACAGTCCCTCAATTCGTTCCCCAACTCAATAGCACATGCTGCGTCTTCCTCCGAAGGGGGCGGACAAGGTGCGTGCCGCGTTTGCGGACGCGGACGCCGTCGCCGACGTCGGCTTTGCACATCACAACTGTCACTATCACTGTCGTCGAATAGCAGTTCAAGATCCACCTGCACCTTGTGTTCCACCATGAGGTTGTGAAGTATGCAAATGGCCATGAACTCTTTACGAATGGTTTTCATATTCGCAATCTGTGTCCCGATGAAGTTCCTCCACACGACCTTCAATCTTCCGAAAGTGCGTTCGATGCACGACCGTGCGGAAGTGTGACAATCATTGTGCACCTGTTCAGCCGCATTCCTGTTGTTGCCCCCAACCGGAGTCATAATCCATGACAGTTGTGGGTACCCAACGTCATCGAGCAAGTACCTGCCAATCGTACGACCACCACGCAGCACCTCCCCGCCCGTGCCGAACACCCCACCACCGCATTGCGCCTCGCGATGCAAAGGAGACACTCGCAGCACCCGACTATCATGAACAGACCCCGGGCAACCCACGAAAACGCTCTGAATTCGGCACTCGTGGTCGCAGACCACCTGCGCCACGACAGAGAATTGGTCAGTGCGATCATAGAAACACTCCCCCCTCTGACCTGCAGGCTTCTCGATGTACACATGGGTGCAGTCTATGGCTCCCACGCAGCCCGGGAAACCTTTGCGTTCGAAAGCGTCCAGCGAATCTTGCAGCTTCTGCCCAGTTGGGAATTGGAGCAGATGCCCATACTCCCTGATCAGCACATCGGCGACATCGATGTTGCTCCACAACGCGCTCGCCAGACCAAGCCCCAAACCATGCGCCGACTGCCTGTAGTAACCTCCCGTCGCCCACCTGATGAGAGCGCATGCAAATTTCTGCGCCGCCGGTACTGGCTCTCTCCAGTTCGTCGTCTGATGCTGGATATGTGGCGCTATGCGAGCCAGAATCTCATTTAACAGCGGCCGGGGAAGTCTGCAGAACCGCTGGAAGACCTTCTCGTGCCTGCCTCCCTCTCTCTGGAGGTCCTTCCACACACCCCCACTGCGTTCCAACACCCACATGCGTCTTTGGCCATCCACACGACGAATGAAAACGCTGCCCAGCACGTCCGCCAGTGACCTGCTGTGCATCGCCGCACCCGTGAGATGCAGCAAGGTGGAAGACAACCCCGACAGACAACTCGGCATCGCAGCTGCTGCCTGCAGGACAGCCATCGCCACCGCATTCCTTCTGTTCATGCACTGCAAAAGGACGAAAACCATAAGGAACATGGTATCATCCCAATCATCCATCGGCCCTGAAGTGGCACCACGCTCCATGCAACGAGGCTTGCACACGTCACGCGCGTGGACGTACGAACACGTCCGCTCAGCTGCAGTGATGGGGACGGGACGAAAGAGCGAAGGACGACGCAGACGACAGTGGCTATGGTGGCGACAGCGTTCACTCACGCACAATGTTGCAGCGGCTCGCATACGTAACGAGCACCTCCAGAATGGGGAGGCCTGCGCCAACGGTCTCATTGACGGTACCGTCTGTGGAACAGTCCAGTGCCACAGGACGGTGGGTCCCCTTCGGCCCTCTCACCAGCGGGAGATCGCACTGCCTCTCGCACATGCCGCCCTGTGTCACCCACCTGAGGCGGCACGGTCGTTCCTTGGGTCCACCCACGCCTTCCGGACATTCGGCCACTTTCCTTTTCGGGATGCCGAGCGGCCACCTTTCCTATTACGGAATATCACTTCCGCACTTTGCTGCAGAACGCAGTCCGCTATGGGGTCCCGACAAAAGAGTTTCCAACCTTTCCAAAATCGTTCGGCCGTTTTTTTTTATGGCCAGACGTCTTTTCCATCGTTTTTCCTGTGGGGTCCAACTCTTAGCCAAAGCCGGGTAATGGCCCCGGTATCTCAAATTTTCATGAGATTGGGGTGAGTGGGTGGAGGAGATGGTGGGATATTATGCATTCTACTAGTGAGGGAGCTAGCTGGTAGGATGGGAATAGGGTACAGCAGCAGCGGAGATGGTGGCTCTGCTGTAGTAAGTCTTGCCGGATGGACTGGGGGTGTCTGAGTTTTTTCCTGAATCGTGCACATGTCTTGCTTTTTCTCTCAAAGGAAAAAAAAAATAAAAAAAAAATAAAAGACTTGAGCGGGTATAAAATTGCTGTGAAGAAAGGGCATCACTAGAACCGGCACAAAACTGAGGTACTTGTGCCAGGAGGAATTGCGAATCTGGTCGTCGGCCGAGCCACACTGAAAAAGCATTTCAGATGAGCCACACTGGCCGTGTTCTGCCATTTGCAAATTTGCCACGTGGTATTCTTTTTTTTTTAAACGGCTGAAGGAGCCTCCTAGGGCATACTCACACTCCGCCCTGAAAATCAGCACATGGCAAAATGAGTGGCCAGATCGAGTCCTTGCAAATGAAGGACTATGGGCCTCATTAGACGCTCCCTGGGGATGCTATTCCAAGGATTTGTCGTCCCACCTGTCCTTGGAGATAAAATCGGAGAAGAAAATGCAAAAACACTCCAAGGATGAACACTTCAAGAATTTAGGATTGTTCAGCCATTTTGTTCTCGGATCCAAGGGACCCCGCGCGGGACTCGTTCTCGGCTCACGGGGTCCCTTGGAGCCTGAGGATCTGTGTTTCACGGAGAGGAGAGGGCATGCACATAATGGTACTTTACAACTGAGAATCCAGATAATTGTGGCACCCTATTGGCTGAAAGCCAGAAGCAGAACTGTTTTTCTTTCTTGTTATGACCCTGGCCAATTTCGAGATACACATCCACTGGAAAGTACAATGCCATCCAATTGCAAAAAGAAATGAATGAACTTGAGAGGAGAGAGAGGAGTAGAAGAAGAAGAAGAAGTAAGAAAGAAGAAGAAGATGTACACCAGCAAAGACAATGACAAGGCTCTTCTTCTTCGCCCAACAATCTCCTCCTCCTTATCTCCCCCTTCTCTTATTCATACAAGAAATAATGATACAATGTTGAATGACTGGTCCAGAATCATGTCCGAGTCCCTCTTCTACTGCAGGTATCACTCAAGGTCCACCATAGCCATGGCCGCCTCTCCCACTCTTCACTCTCATAGGCCGAGGCTATGGCGGACTACTAGGCCTTGCTCAGATGTCCAAAGGACAACCCAGAGCAGCCATGGCTGCTCCAGCTCAGGCCGCCATGCCCAGCCCTGCCTTGAAGCTTCTTGGCGTGACTCCCCCTGGCTGGGGACTCCTTGCTGCAGCGCCCACCAAGGTGATGAAGATGGCTGCCACCATAGCCAGGTAAGTACCCCTGGCACTCCTCCCCCTTCCTTCCTTCTTCCTCTTTCTTCCTCCCTCCTGTCCTTCTTCTTCCTCCCCAGCAGCGCTGCTCCAGCTTAGCGCTGCTCCCTCCAGAGCTCCACCAGTGTGTCGCCAAACTTGCACACCGGAGAAGAGGCCGGGTCTTCCGCCCGGCCAGAAGATATAGTGGCCTGCTTGCCTCTTGGGCGGTGACTTCCAGGCCACTGTCCTTCCCAAGCAACCGGTACCTCCTCCTCTTTTGGAGGGAACATCATTGCAGACTCTGATATTGCCCCTACAGGCCCTAGACTCAGACTGGTACCCGCTAGACCTAGCCTACACTACCGGCCTCTAAAAATGCCACTTTTGTCTTCTTCTGCTCGGCCTCCGGTACCTGCATATTTACCCCCCTACCGGGTGCGGTACCGGCCTACCCGCTACTTGAGTGCTTTTCCCCCTGCTGCAACCCTTCAAAGCCACGGCCACAGTTAAGTACCGGCCCTGAGGGACCAACGAACGAACAAGTGCCCTGGCGGGCTACACACACACACACCCATACCAACCAGCGCTCAGACAGGCACAGTCACACACGCAAGCCAACCAGCACTCAGACAGACATGCAGTCCAGCAAGCACACACGCACACAGACTCAGCAGGCGGGGAACTCAGTAGGGCATTCAGTCTATGAGCAAAACTCAGAAATCAGCTGTGTGTTTCAGTCCAGGTTTGGACGGGTTATCACATTCTTTATTTACTTTTATTTTTCTGACATCACCCTTTGGACTGGTTCTAAAGCTGACACTCCGAGGATGAGTGGAAAGAAGACGATGAAAACCCTACATTCTTGTTAGGTTTTGTTAGGATTCGTCCTTGGAGACCGAGGACGCACTGACGAGCATCTAACAAGGCGCTATCTGACCGCTCATTTTGCCATTTCGCTGATTTTGAGGGCCTAGTCTATCCTTGTCCGCTAGGTCAGTTCGTAAGGCATGCAAGTGGCATTCAGGAGGTCTTGGTTCCTCCATCCCCGTGGGCCTCATGTATCTTCCTGGGCATGCTTGGCACCCGACGCCTAGAGATAGGCCGTTGGTCCCCCCAAGCGGCATTGAGCAGAGACTGCTGGTGTTCGTAGTGGGAGAGGACCAGAGGAGGAGGCACAGCGAGTGGCCCATTGAAGAAGCTCGGTCCTGATGCTACTTGCTGACTCCTGGAGGGTATTGCCCACCTGCAGGTCAAGCGCAGCCCCCACATGTTCCCTTGTCCGGGTCTTGAAGTTGGGCTGGCTGTTACGAGGTTCCTGTAATATTATAATGATAACAAGTGGTTGTCCGCTGCGGCTACTCTCGCATCACACACCCGCTCCTCCCCCCTCCCTCTGCGACCTCCTCTTCCTTCCCGTTTTCTCCCACCTCATCTCCATGCAAATCCCCCATATCGCTCCTCCTGGGCCACTTTGTAGTCGTCTGCTATATTCTTCTCCCACCCCTCCTCCACTGTCACGCCCTTCTGCCGTCTTCCGGTCGGAGTGATTAAAATGCGGAAAAAGGCCCTGGAAGAACAGGAAAGTAGGGTGTGCCAAGGATTTTTAGAAAATTGAGTGTGGGGACAGATTCAAGAAGGAAAGGTTAAAGTCCTGGATCCACTCTGAAGGAATTCAAGTCGCTTGTCTTCAAGAAACCAAAGTGAACAAAGAGAAAATCAACTCCCTCGGGAATTGGTGGGATGGTCCGCAATTGTGGCCCCCCGCCGTGGGTTCTAGGGGAGGAGTAGGGATCCTAGTTCACCAAAATCTTGACACAGAAATCGTGGATTTCTACTCAGATCTGTGGGGACGTTCAAGTTTAATACACAGAATCTGGAAGACGTGGGATTGGTAGATTGGATGAGGAAGTTCTGGGCCAGTTGGCAAGATGCCCGAGCAAACTACAATTCTACCGCTGAATGGCGGGAAGTGGGCTCTCGTATCTTTTCTAACTTGTTGCCAGTTTTTTCGCTATTGCAGCAGTATAGCCGCAAGTTCTGCTTGGCTATAGCAGCAGTATAGCCGCAAGTTCTGCCTGGCTATAGCAGCAGTATAGCCGCAAGTTCTGCCTGGCTATAGCAGCAGTATAGCGAGAGACGTGGGATTGTCTCTCGTGAACCGCAAGTTCTGCCTGGCTATAGCAGCAGTATAGCCGCACTCTCTCTCGCTATCCCCAAGCGGTGCTGACAGTGGCAACCCTCTAGTCTCAGTAAGCAGCAAAAATATGAAGAACGATTCTGAACGAGGGTTTTGCACCAACTACGGTAGTCCCGTTTGAGGGGCAGCTACTTGCCTAGGCCCACAGTGTCTTCTTCCTACCAAAACTATCAGCGAAAAAGGTCCTACCAGCATGCTACTCTCTTCACCCGAATAGAACTGCCGGTCGTTATAACTGTATCTGGACTGAAAATTGCACCAAATACGGCTATAATGACCGGGCGTTCTATTCTGGTGAAGATGGTAGGCAAAAAGCCTCAAAAGAGACTGTACACGCAGCTCCCAGGTAACGGTAAAGGGAAACAAAATAACTGCATTTATGTTGTTTTGGTCCCAGCAGGTTCAGATCCTGGCATACTAAGAACAAAAAAGTTGACAAAACAACACAAACTTGTAAAAGACGGAAAATATTTCGGGGGGTTTAGGGTTTCTGGTTCAAACCCTCAACCGCAACACAACCCCCACTCGCAATTCTTGACTTCCAATTCATGTGCTTGTCCCAAACTAGAGTGGGGGTTGTGTTGCGGTTCAAACTAGAGTGGGAGTTTTGCATCATTACTGAACTTAAACCACCAGTACTTGGCCCAGCTATCGGCTGTGAGGGAACAAAAAATAGAGTAGAAACGTTTCTACCGTCTTCACCCGAATAGAACGCCTGGTCATTATCGCTACATCAGGACTGAAAGTTGGGCCAAATGCAGCTATAATGACCGGGCGTTCTATTCGGGTGAAGACTGTAGTCGGGTAAATTTGGACTTCCAATTCTGTCGTGGTCCCTACGTTCCCTAAAATTGTGGCTTGTTAACAGGCACAACTTCAG